TCGAGGTTCTCTTCGTCGATGTCCATCTGGCCGCGCGGGTCGGAGGGGGTTCGGTGGTGGCGATGGGGATCAAGAGGGTCTGTTTCATAGGGCTCGTCGGAAGCAGAAGGAAGGAGCCTGGAGAGAAGATTGGAAGCCATCATGGTTATATCCCTAAATGGAGCTCAGGCAGCGGCGGGGTGGAGAGCCGTGCGAGCGGAGGCGGATCTGAGCGTTGAAGCGTGAGTATGGACGCAGGATCAGCGAGGGACCCCCAAATCGTTGGACAAGTCGCCATAGGCACTAAGACACTCAGATCATGACCATGTTGGCGTGACGGGGCTTTGAAGTGTGAATGTGAACAGTACTGTCATGTGCCTCTGGCGTCAGCCCGCATTCATAGAGCTAAGCTTCCCGCGGACCGACGTTTGACCGAGACGAACGACTTTGGCTGGAAACCACCACAACAGTGATCATCACACAATGTCCGCCGGCTATTTCCAGGACCGTTCTACGCCCGCTTCTCAGGATGTCTTCTCACCTGCCTCGCCGTCAATAGGGATCACCTCTCGGGGTGCGAATGCCCTCTCCAGCAGAATTACCAGTGTTCTCTCCGCATCCTATGCAGATCTCGAAATTCGCAATGCTTTGGAAACACTTGACTCCCGTGGGGTGCAAAATAGTGCGGAAACTAGGCGCCAAATCCGTTTAGATGTTCAAAAGGAGGTGATTCAGTGCAATGGCGAGATTGTTAAGGATTTCGGTGAAGTGGCGGAGGTGCGTAAACAGCTGATCCGACACGTGTTCGTACACTGAAGCGTGACAGCAACTAAAACGCATCGGCGCAGCCATCAGCAGCCTAAATAAATATTGTTCAGACATGCGGGACCATATCAGAGCAGCAAATCGGGACACTGGGCCTGTCCTAGAAGAAGCGAATAGCCTTATGAGCCAGAAGAAGCAGGTCGAAACCAAGCAGCAAATTCTGGGCGCTTTCAAATCTCATTTTCTCATTACGGAAGACGAATCTACAGTGTTGACGTCAACCGCGGAGCCTGTCAATGAAGAGTTCTTCCAAACGCTCACAAGAGTCAAGAAGATCCACCATGACTGCGAGGTCCTTTTGGGAACAGAAGACCAACGCTTGGGCCTAGAAGTCCTTGAACAGAGCTCTAAGCAACTGAATGCTGCGTTCCAGAAGCTGTACCGCTGGATTCAACGCGAATTCAAGACCCTGGATCTTGAAAATCCGCAGATCAATGCATCTGTGAGGCGGTCGCTGCGCGTTCTAGCTGAGCGGCCCACCCTATTCCAGAGCTGTCTTGACTTCTTTGCCGAGGCACGCGAAAATATACTCTCGGATTCGTTCTATGCGGCTCTGACTGGATCGACTTCAGATACACAAAATCTAGCTACGAAACCGATCGAATTCCAAGCCCACGATCCCTTACGCTACGTTGGTGATATGTTAGCATGGGCTCACTCAGCTACCGTATCGGAAAGGGAGGCCTTGGAAGTTTTGTTCATCTCAGATGGTGACGAGATTAAACGCTCCATTCAAGCTGGTCTGGAGAGCGACCCATGGCTACGACGCTCTGACGGAGACGAGATAGTGTTTGATGGGAAGAAAGCTCTGAATCAGCTTGTCAGTCGCGACCTGACCGGCGTTGCTCGATTGTTGCGCCAGCGTACCGAACAGGTGATTCAGAGCCACGAAGATGCAACGCTGGCGTACAAGATCGCAAACTTGATTGGATTCTACAAAAATACATTCGCCAAGCTTCTGGGGACTGATTCTGAAGTCTTGGCGCTTTTCGGTACATTGGAGGGCTCAGCTATGAGGCAATTTCGTGGTAACATGCGAGATCATGTTGCTTCTGTTCAGAGCGAACTTGCTGTCGCCCCTGCAGACTTGTCACCTCCGGACTTCCTGGAAGAGGCTCTCCAGATGTTAGGAGTTCTGGCAAAGAGTTACGATACGTCGATTACCACGGTTGACGATCAAGAAAATGGGTTCCAGCCTGTGCTTGCTGAAACATTGGATCCGTTTCTTAGTGGATGCGAGAACCTCTTCAAGGGACTGCCACAGCCTGACAGTGATATATTCGCCATCAACTGCCTTATATCCGCGAAAGTGGTACTCTCACCTTACTCATTTACCAGCGAGCGGGCTAGCGAAATGGATGACACTATCAGCGAGCATGCGACCAACCTAGTAGACTATCAGCATCAGTACTTTACTTACACCTCTGGTCTAAACACTCTTCTCGAAGCTCTGTCATCCATCACAGATTCCGCAGAGAGTTTGAAAACCATCCCAGACCTAGAAGCGTTTAAGCCAGAGGCACTTGTAGCAGCAAGCCAGCAACTGGACGAATTCCTTCCATCGGCACTCATCGATGCATCCGAGAACCTCAAACGGCTGCGAAACAGGAATATGATACAAGACATCACGGAAGAGGCAGCTGGCCGATTCTGTGAAGACTTTGAATTGGTGGAGAGCAAGATACTGGCTGCAGATGACTTGCTCTACAACGATAATGACTCTGAAGAGGAAGACCCCGCACCAGGACTCAGAGACATGTTCCCGCGCACAAGCGGAGAGATTCGGGTACTGTTGAGCTAGGAAAGGGACCGCGACTGGCAATCCAAATGTCATACCAATCGAAGATATTGTTGCTACTTCCGTCTATTCCATTCTCTTAAGTGATCTAGCATTTGTATGCCCAACGTGATGCTTCGTGGATGTCGTGATTCGTAATCCAACTCAGGTCTGGGGTTTCTTTTTCTCCCACTCCTCGGGGGTGTGGCACTTTGGCGTCCACGCATGTATTGCGGCAATTTCTTCTTTGAGCGCGGTGTTCACCAGTCGGTGTCTGGCCAACGTCGTCTTCTTTGCGAATTGCGGCGACACGATGATTGCCTCATACATCTGCCCACATCCGCCTGTAAAAATCGTTAGTATATGTTAAACACCTGACCACGAAAAACGTTATTCCAGGAACAGCTGTCCCAGATCTTCCATATGAATATAAACGATTCTTACCACTCAGATCCTCTATCTCTACATGCGTAGCATTAAGCCTTTCCACAAGTTTCTGCCGGAGTCCCTCGATCGTCACGCCGGAGCTGGCGGGCTCAGAATCCGTCATGCCACTCATCGTCGTGTCGGGGTCGACGGCAAGCTTGTCGAGAGATTTATAGAGTTGGTGTCTCGGGTCCATGTTGCCGCGCGCGGGAAGTTCGATTTTATTGGAAATCCTATCTTCGGATCTGATAAGATCTGATCAGGATAGATGACGTGACGAGGTGGGGCTTTCATTGTGTGGCGCATGGGCCGGCAGGGATCTAGCGGGAGAAATTCGTGGCGGGGCTCGAGCTGTGGTGGAAGCTATTTTGTCTCCCAAAGTCCATGTTTGCTCAAACACTGAGGCGCGCTTTCATCATGAGTGCTTCGACGACGATTGCGCCATTCTCGAATGCCGCTGTGCGGGCTATGCGGAGGCTGTAAGCTGTCCAAACATTTCCTCTCCAGCAAAGTCTACACATACTCACACACTCGACAGCTATCCGCAAGCCCTCGCAGACAGCTCGTGGGATAACACCGGCCTCCTCCTCGAAGCACCTTTCGTATCCTCCCGTCGACTAAGCAACACCATCCTCCTCACCATCGATCTCACAAAAGCCGTCGCCGACGAAGCAATTGCACGCCAATCATCCATCGTGATTGCATACCATCCGATCATCTTCCGGGGGCTCAAGTCGCTCACCCTTGCGAATTCACAACAACACACACTACTACGGCTCGCAAGCCATGGGATCAGCGTATATAGTCCTCACACTGCGGTCGATGCTGCACCAGGTGGATTAGGCGACTGGCTAGCGGACATTGTGACGGGGACGAAGACAAGCTACGTGGGCGAGGACTCCGATACAGACACAACATCAAGAACTTCGAAGAAGACCGACGATGACCCCTTCGTCGAGAAGAGACCTCCAGTCTATACCTTACACAGACATCCCAGCCAAACCACCCTTCGTCTCTCGAAAACTCCATCTCCTACTACAACCACAGTCCCACACACCCGATGTCCAATCGTTCCCCAATCACCAGAGCTCGCATCCCACCCTGGTGCAGGAATGGGCCGAATCGTCACATTCAGTCAACCGCAACCGCTCCCTACTCTCCTTGACAGAATCGGGAAAGGCATGAACAATCCAAAAGGCTTCCCTATCGCCATTCCTCAAAATGCGTCAATATCCGATCTTAGTATCTCTAGTGTGGGAATCTGCGCTGGCTCGGGTGGTTCTCTTCTTGCGAATCTAGACGTAGATTTATTATTTACCGGCGAGATGAGCCATCATGAGGCGCTGGCTGCAATTGAGAAGGGGCAGGTGGTGATTAGCCTGTTTCATAGTAATTCGGAACGAGGTTTTCTGAGTGAGGTGTTGAGAGGACAGTTGGAGGAGGTGATGGATGAGGAGTGGAAGAAGGTTAGAGAGGAGGAGAGTGGGAAAGAAGAATACAAGGAGGCTTTGACAGAGGAGGACTTTGAAATTGTGGTTAGTGAGGTGGATAGAGATCCGTATGGGATTGTGATATTGAAGGCGGAAGCAGAGTGAGAGTGCTCGACTGTAGGGTCCCAGGGAGATCACTTACGCTGACACCAAAAATTATTTTGAATGCATCAGTTCTTTAGCAAAAACATGGAAAACATTCTATTGTACTGCATTTTATTAGCATAGCTGTCTTGATTCGACCCATGTTCCCTATTAATGCGAGTGTGCTATGTAAGACGGCCTCGGCAAGTGTGCGTGGGTCACACTCACATCCCCACCCATGCAATTAAAGCCCAAAAAAACAATTCAATCCCCACATCCACCCCTAGTCCGAGCACCCACGTCGCTTATTATCCTATACTACTGTTATGCCTAATTTTACCCTCGTATAAGTTAATATTAATTCTCAAAATCGTCCAAAATCACTACCAAAGCCACTGACTTTCTAAAGAAGTCAATCATCCTCCGTGGCGCAATTGGCTAGCGCGTCCGACTGTTAATACGCAATCATGTATTGGGAATCGGGAGGTTCGTGGTTCGAGCCCACGCGGGGGAGTTCTCTTTTTGTTCCTTTTTGCTGCTTTTTGCTTGGGATTCGAGGGTGAGAGGGGTATTTATATATTGGGACATATACGGAGTTGGGTTAGGCGACTCATGACGGGCTCGCCACTCACACAGAACACTTTCATTTTCTTTACAGAATTTGGCACAATTTTTTTGGTTCCCAGGAGTTTGGATAGTGGTAAAATCGGTCTAAGAGAAGCATCTTCAACTTTTTGAGCACTTCAGGCTGAGAGATTTGGAGGGTGGGGTTTCTAACGCCGGCCCAGTCGACCAAATGCACACCCAACCATTTTTTATGCTTCCTGAACGTGAAAGGCTTCTTATCAAAATATAGTTGATAGCCATGTACATGCGCGAGGTTTCTAGTTGTACAACCCAAGACGCTCCAAATTTATTATCCCATTGACTCGTTTTGAGCCGACTATAGGTGACCATAAATCGATAGATATCGTGTAAGAGAAGGTCTCTGCTCTGAATATCTATGTAATACTATACCAGAGCACACATCCAAATTTGTACAATCTACAGAAAGTTGAATGTGTTTGCGCTAACCTATTATGGAGTAGCACCTCGGCTATCTGCCAAGATTTTCCACGCACATTTCGACTTCGCGATCCCGAGCAACTAACTTCTTCAACAACACAAGACTCTACCGGAGCGCAACAACCCCCACCAGGAATTTTAACAGCACTTCCTGAGCGCAAAGATGGCACCTAAGAAAGCTAAGAAGACCGCCGACTCCATCAACTCGCGCCTGGCGCTTGTGATGAAGTCCGGAAAGTGAGTGTTCTTCACCAGCTCCCCAATCTCCACCATGGGAGAGGACTCTAGTCGAACGGTCGACTAACCATTCTCGAATTTTAGGGTCACATTGGGCTACAAGTCTACCCTCAAGAGCCTACGAACCGGGAAGGCGAAGCTGGTACGTTCAGTCCTACCACACAATCGGATAATCGGAGGTCGAAGGTGATCGCTGTGGCTTAAACACTTCGAGGGCGATTTGGGAGCCTGTCGGGACACAAAAAAGATCTTTGACTGACAATAGACCAGGTCATCATCGCTGGCAACACCCCCCCTCTGAGGAAGTCTGAGCTCGAGTAGTAAGTCTATACCACGCTCTGACCAAACCCCCTTCTAACACCACCTCTAGCTACGCCATGTTGTCCAAGACGTCCGTCCACCACTTCAGTGGTAACAACGTACGTGATGTGATCCCGATCCATTCTCATGGCCTAACGACGAGGTACCTCGAGTATTCTCCGAGGGCTGGCCCTGAGAAGAGGTCTTTTCAGACTTCGGAGGGCTTTCAACTAATATATGTTAAATACAGATCGAGTTGGGCACTGCCTGCGGTAAACTCTTCCGCTGCGCGACCATGTCCATCCTCGACGCTGGTAAGTGACCGTCAAATACTGTATTGCTCTTCGAATTTAGCGCTAATTTCTCGACAGGTGACTCCGATATTCTCACCACCAACACCGCATAAATTAGAGGGGACGTGGTTTCGAGTGGAAAGGGTATGTCTGCCAGTGGGAATGACGTGGCTGCAGGCGAAATGGGCAGGTAGTTCAATAAGCATGGCGAATCCCGTCGTGCGAGATCCAATGCAATGGAAGCATTCGTGCGCCACAAAGGCATCCCTCAATATGACTCTTCTATGACTGTGACGGTGCCCAGTGCTTTCGTGACTGGTGAAACTGCTGCTTGGAAATCAAATCAGCACAGCGAAACTCCGACAAGGCGAGGGCGAGCTCGCCTATCGCTTAATCTGGCCTAGCGTGTGGTGGCGGCTCCCACAATAAGCTTGTTAATCAACCACAACCTTCCACTGACTTTTGCTCCTTGACCTCCACTCCCACCACAACACATATAAGTCCAGGGTAAGTGCCGCATTTTCATCTGCGGGACCTGGGGATTTTGTATTGACAAGCTCTCGCAGTAACGACGCTCTGCCTCCCCCAAGCCGTTATCGAACGCCCAACTCATTGATTTGAAATCAGATTCCATCACCGACACAATGGCCAGGAGACCCGCCCGCTGCTACCGGTACTGCAAGAACAAGCCGGTATGTGAGAGCTACAAGGGGAATCTACAAAGAAAATAAAATCACAGGACTGACGTTTTCGCGCAGTACCCCAAGTCCCGCTTCAACCGCGGTGTGCCCGACCCCAAGATCCGCATTTTCGATCTCGGCCGCAAGCGCGCCAACGTCGACGAGTTCCCGCTATGCATTCACCTCGTGTCCAACGAGTATGAACAGCTGTCTTCGGAGGCCCTCGAAGCCGCACGTATTTGCGCCAACAAGTACATGGTCAAGACTGCCGGAAAGGAATCCTTCCATCTCCGCGTCCGCGCCCACCCGTACCATGTAGTCCGCATCAACAAGATGTTGTCGTGCGCTGGTGCCGATAGACTGCAGACAGGTATGCGTGGTGCTTTCGGTAAGCCCAACGGAACCGTTGCCCGCATCAACATCGGCCAGATTATCCTGTCCCTGCGAACGAAGGACTCTCTCCGCCCCAATGCTCTTGAGGCGCTCCGACGATCCCAGTACAAGGTGAGCCACCATCATTGACCATGTTACGTGAGTGTGAGATGCTAATTTTGTAATAGTTCCCCGGTCGCCAAAAGATCATCGTCTCCAAGAACTGGGGCTTCACTAACCTCCGCCGTGACGAGTACGTCGTCAAGCGCCAGGAGGGCAAGATCAAGATCGACGGCGCCTACGTCCAATTCCTTCGCAACAAGGGCAACCTCGAGCAGAACATCAAGCGCTTCCCGACTGCGTTCGAGCAGGAGGCATAGATTTCTGTGGGCAACGACTGGAGGGACGACAGATGATAAGTGCTTGGGATGAGTGGGATATCGGCTATGGCGTGTCTTGCTTTCACTTTTTTCTCTCTCGTCACGGATGAGGGTATGATGGGGGATCTACGGGTAAACTGTAGGAACCAACCACAATATAACCTGACAATGACAATGGAAAACGGCATGAATCATCTTGGACTTTAGACATTTGAAGCATTTGCTTTACGTGATTGACTATTTACCTAACATTAAATATTACCCGCCTCCTTCGCTATTGGATATCCTAGCTAACAATAAACGGCAATCCGCCAGGCTAGCTGCGCGGTCAGAAACTCCACAATATACAACTCTACAAAAACTCTAGCATATCAATCTAATATCTTGCTCTCATCCACACCCTTTCAAGCCGTCACCGTTGCCGTTGCCGTCACAGTAACAGTTTCCCGTTCTGTCTCCGTAACCGTAATTGTGAAAATCTGGCTAGGCGCAATCGGCGTGATGATCAACTGGCCCGCAGACGTCGAAGTCGGCGCTGGTGGAGCGGGCGGAGGTGCTAAAGCATTTGTAGGCGCGGGCGGTGCAGCAATAGTGTTTGAAGATGGGGGTGCGGGGGCTGGAGCTGGGAGTACTGACGAGGTAGGGATGGGGATTCGGAGAGTGGTGTTGGGCTCCGGTGGGGGAATGATAGGGGGGTTTGAGGCTGAGGGAAGGGGTGCAGGGATGGGAATACTGGAGGGGGCGAGGAGCGACGTAGATGAGCGGAGAGTGACTACTGGTGGCAGAGCGAGGGAGCTCGAAGGGAGCGGGATTCCGGCCGTTGACGATGAGGGTAGGGGTTGTTGGGCTTGGGGCGGTGCGGATACCGTCGGAATCGCGGATGTCGTGAGAACAGACTGTGCTGGGGGGAGGATGCTCGCTGCTGCAGAAGAGGGCGGTGGGATGGTCGTGTACTGTGTCAATGTGATTGTGACGATGCGCGGTGGAGAGGTGGTGGTCGGGACTTGCGAGAGGAGCGTGGTTTGGACTGAGCTGCTTGCTACGGAAGAGAGGAGAGAGCTTGAGACGACGGCGGCTGTTGATGAGGGCTTAGGATGGAAGAAGCTGAAGCCTGGGAGGGAGGAGGCCAGAGGAACTGTTGGTTTGATACCAGTTGAAGGGAGGGGAAGGCCTTCAGATGTGCCTGGGATTGCGGATGAGCTCGAAGGAGGTGGGATCGCTTGAGATGTGTTCGGGAGCGCGGTCGTGGCTGCGGTCGAATTGATAACAGGCACAGCGGAACTAAGGATCCCTGTAAGGTCTGTGGTCGCTTGAATTGAGCTCTTTGCCGCAGACAGGGCTGATGATCGTGTTACGTATGTAAACGCAGGTGCTTGCCTTGTGCTAGTCGAAGACGAGGGTTCTTGGATTTTTGACGTCGCACCAGACGGTACATCAGGCTGCACAGTGGATTGAGCGGACGCAGTAGTTGATGCCACACTAGTCAAAGTAACTGATGGTTCGGCTGTAGAAGTAGGCTCGGGTGGAGGCGTAACGGGTTCCTTAGTGATGAAGGAAGTAGAGAAAACAAGCATTTCAGATTGTGTGATGAGAGGCCGGCCATCTGGAAGGAAGAACGTGATGGCGGCTTGAGTCCGAGTAAAGATCGTACGTTGAATGGGAGTGATGATGACTTCTGCAGTCTCTGCATTGGCTGACGAGTCGGAAGTCGTTTGTGGGAGCTGAGAACTGAACGGCTGTGTCGTTGGCGCCTGAAGGGGTGTCGAAGATGAAGTGGACGATGCAGATGCTGACGGTGTAAATGTTGAAGATACATCTAGAAGAGTTGAGGTGGATCCAGATGCCTCCTGGGAAGTTGTAGGAGCTACCGATGAGCTGTTCTCGAAACGAGGAAAGCTTTTAAGTGTTAGAGCATGTTAATCTGAGCCTGTGGATTCATTTGCGTACTTTGGTCTCCTGTAATGCTGTGGTACCGGCCCCGCTATTACGACAGTCGAACAAGCTGCCAGCAGCCAAAAGGAAGCAAAGATAACCATCTTCAAGACGGCGGTAGTAATTAGAGAATTCAAGATCCTGACGAGATGAAAGAACTTTTGAAAAGACGCGCGCTTGACTTGGAAACGAAAGAAGTGAGAGAAGAAACAAATGAGAGTGGGAACTGAAGAATTATGAGGAAAACGATCGACA